CATCCATTGCATCAGCATCGCGAACCATTATTCACTTAGCCGATTGCATGCGACCAATCTGAGGCCTTTTTTCAACCAAAACATGTGTTGTTGGCATGCGCACGTGTCTACTCTGGCGTGTGTCGGGGTTGGATGGGCGGCCTGCACACGTGTGGCTGTGTGTGTGTGTGTGTGTGTCGGGGGGGGGGGGGGGGGGGGCGCACTAGCGGTCCGGGCGTTGAACGTCACAGATACAAACACGTCAGTCTCCTCCTCCCCCCCCCCCCCAAGGCAACTGATCATTATGACAATGATAAGTTAGTCTTGACGTAGATCTACGTAATGAATTGTGCGCTGCTCTAAGGAATCAAATTCAAAAGTTGCCGTATGCTAAGCTCTACACAGCAACACAACTTTTTGATCAACTATCGAGATGACACAGGCGTGCATTTGAACGAATCGGTCTTTTTGTTGTTGCACAGCTCATACTATGCAGGCATTTGAGGCACCACTTGTTTCTTCTCTTTATACATTACTTGCTCAGTGCCTGGAATTATCTACACAAAACCTCAAGTTTGCTATAACCAACACTCGGATACAACGAGACTTTAGGTCAGGCCCGGCGACCTGGTGGAATCTGAGTTCCCCTGTAGGACCATAGATCTAGGTCGGTCGGTACACAGTGACATCAAACAAATCATGATCTAGGAAACTGGAAATGGTTACATAACATGCTCACATACTGAGTGACAGTCTATACAACGTGACAGTCTATATAACGTGGCAGTCTGACAGTCTATACAATGTGACAGTCTATACAACGTGACAGTCTGACAGTCTATACAACGTGACAGTCTATACAACGTGACAGTCTGACAGTCTATACAACGTGACAGTCTATACAACGTGACAGTGGTACGAGACAACAACTTGTCAGCAGGAGAGAGTTAGGGTTAACACCTTAGTGACCCCACCCCTGACCCCATCCCTGACCCCAGCCTTGACCCCATCCCTGACCTCAGCCTTGACCCCATCCCTGACCCCAGCCTTGACCCTTCTCTCCAGACAGGCCCCAGTCAGGAACAGCGAGGAGGAGCACACTCTCTATCAACTAAACCCAAAACTTGCAACAAATCTCTGAAACTACAACCTCCATTTTCCATACACAAATTTCACCAAACGTCAACAAAATTTTTTTTGTCATAAGCATCGCTGATGCTTGTTAGAAATAACATCCCTCCAGCCTCGGCAGTGGTTCTAGAACCACGGGAAATGGCCGCTGTCTGGCGGGTCAGCGAGCCGGCATGCGGCTGGTCACTGAGGTGTTAAGCAATAGACCCATCACAAAGCCGACAACAGGTCCCAGGTCAGAGTGACCAGCCTGTGAGAGAGAGAGAAGACACCAAGAAGGAAGCACCATGCTGTCTTACCATCGCCTTCCTCGGGACTAGCTTTGGGACATGTGGGGGTGAGCGCCAGCTACAGAAAAGACAAACAGCGACTGTTTACGCCCGACTGGGAACTTTATCTCCGGGCAGCGGGACAACAATGCCACATTTTGTGTCCACCATTTGACGGACAAGCAAGATGAGACAAGTTGGAGGAAAAGAAGAGACGGAGCAGATGAGAGAGAAATGTATGGGAGCAGCGTGCAGTCAAGTTGTAAGTTTTGACCAATTGTTGGGAAAGACAGGTAGGTGGAGGTCCATGTTGTCGAGAAGAAGATGAAGTAGAGCACACAAAGTGTGGAAAACTGATGAGCAGGACAAGACATTCACATTGATTGCCGCCATCACAACCGCACGTCGTAATGCACATCTGACAATAGCTAGGCTAGCAGCCTCACCTACCAGCTAAAAGCAGGGGACAATGAAAATGTTGTACCTAGCACTATCTATAGGACTATATTTAGAGTGAACCGTCTCGACCACGATCTCACTATCTAAAGGAAACAACAGCTGGGAGAAGGGAACAATACACAAGTACAAATTTCCCACAGAAACTGTCATCCCATAAATGTTTCACCACGGACAATTCCCCCCCACGGTCTCCCTACTAGGATCATCGGGAATGTTCTGACTGTGCGTGCAGCGTGTCAGCTGATACCACTTACATCCCCCCTGCTGTGTCCTGTGTTAGGTGTCCTGGTGAGACAGACAGGTGAGACAGACAGACAGCTGAGACAGACAGACAGACAGACACAACTACCTGTTCTGGTGAGACAGACAGACAGGTGAGACAGATAAACAGGTGAGACAGACAGACAGACAGACAGAACAGTGAGACAGACAGACAGAACAGTGAGACAGACAGACAGACAGACACAACTACCTGTTCTGGTGAGACAGACAGACAGGTGAGACAGACAGGTGAGACAGACAGACAGACAGGTGAGACAGACAGACAGACAGACAGACAGACAGACAGACAGACAGACAGACAGACACAACTACCTGTTCTGGTGTGATAGAAAGACAGGTGAGACAAACAGACAGACAGGTGAGACAAACAGACAGACAGC